GAGGCATTAGGTCTGCTGTTAAGGAGCTGAGAATGAAAAAGAACACAATAGGTAGGAGGACTAAGATGCCTTGGGGAACACGGAGAAGAAAGGACTGAGACTGGGAGCCTGCAGTGATCTCGCTGCTTCCTCAGTTTCCTACATGTAGGGACCCCTCCTCTCCCACACACCATCTCCCGTCAGCCTCCTGCAGCCTACTTCATGCAGTGCCATACTCTCGCTAAAGCCATCCAAATGTACACAGACAAGAGCCTCAGTGGAGGTTCCTTTTTGTTCCACTTTGCATTGTTTAATTATCTTTTTGAATTTTCTTCCTTGACATATGTAACAGTGCCTGAGTTTTTTCACTTCCCCACATTTGTTCAGTAACTTCTTTAGGTCAGACCTAAAGAAGCGAAGCTTCTTCCCAGGAACCCCATTCATCACTTACCTGTTCTTTGTTCAGTTGGAGCAGGACTTTCTGCTGGCTGACTATTGTCCGTGGGCCTGAGGGAGCAGAATAGAGTCCAGAAATAGACCCACGTGCATAGTGACTACAGTAGAGTTCTGTCAAAAATGCAACGGTCTTGAAAAATGATGGAATAATTGGACACAAGATGCAAAATTAAAAACATTCCATACCGTAGTAAGAATTAAAATGAGTTATAATCCTAAATATAAAACCCAAAACTAACTTGTAGAAGAAAATGAAGGAAAAAAAATGTTTAACCTTGTTAGGCATAGTTTTTAGATACAAGAACACTTCATTTAAGAAAAAGAATGATAAATCATACTTGATCAAATTGAAAACCTCTTAAGATGCCACGTGAATAAAAAGACCATAGAGTRGCAGGAAATATTTGCATTTCTGATGAAGTACATGCATCTAGAATACAGCAGTCTCAAAACAATAAGTATACCATTTGGGCAAATKATTTAAACAGACACTTCACTAAAGGTTATATACTGGGCTGGGGATGTAGCTTGTTGGTAGAGCACTTAACTAGTTTGCAATGCCCTGGATTTAATTCCCAGGGGCGGGGAGGATGTGGCAAGCATATGAAATATGCTTGRTTCTTCAATAAATAACCAATGAAATATTTAACATAATTAGTCTCTAGGAAAATGCAAATTAAAACTAAAGTAGGCTGCACCACATACTATTAGAATGCCTAAAAATAAAAACATACCACATATTGGTGAGGATGCAGAAGAGCTAGAACTTATGCTCGGCTGAAGGTAATGTGAAATGGCACAGTCACTTTGGAAGACAGTTGTAGGTCATGTACATTTAACGTTCCTAATTATTTGTCAAAAGAAAAAGTATATTTCCCTATGAATACTTGTACCTTCATAGTAACTTTATCATAACCCAAAGGTAGAAGCTACCCACATTTATCAACAAGTAAATACAGAAATTGTGATTATTTACATAATGGAATAGTGCTCAACTTGAATTCACTGTTGATACATGCAACATGGACACATCTCAAAAGTACTGTTTTATAAAATCTATACACTAGAAAATGTGGAGTCATCTACAGAAATGTATAGAAAGAGCGGTGGGGTTAGGAGTTGGAGGGAAGACTTGTAGAGATTTCAAAGGGGCATGAAGAAATGGGGGTGATGGGTGTTCACTGTCTTGTGGTTCTGGTTTAACATGTAATACATATGTCAAAACTTAAAAAATTGAACTTATTGTAAGTTAATGTCTTGATGCCCTTTCTAAGTAACCATTTGAGTCCTTCTCTTTCCTCAAAGCACCACATCCTCCTTTCTCCTCACTTTGATGACAGTCCTGTGTCACCGAGAAGGAGGAAGCAGTCCAAAGAGAATGTTCACAAGGTCACACAATCACATCTACCCCTGATCTGCCCCTGTGTCCATGTGCTCACCAGTTAATTGAGCTCCCCTCTAGAGTGACACTGCTTTGCCTGCCCTTTAAAGCAGACTGCAGTGAGAGAGGTGCCCCAGGCCAGATGGGCTCCACTGAAGAGCCCCATTCACCTTCCACTGCTTTGAGGGATAAGTGTGCCCTGCCTACTGGAGGGCTCTGGGCTGCAGTCCTGCCCTCCCATGCGTCTTCTCTTCTGTTGGGCTATTCCCATCATTACTTCCCACTGCTGCTGTGATTCTTCCACTAAAAATACCTTGACCCCGCCACTCTGTTTCCTTCTCAGCAAATGCCTTCAAAGAGTTATTCGTACTCATGTTAACTTCCAACTCCACTCCCATTGGATATTCATTCCCATTTTTTCCCTGGAATTGTTCTTGTAATTGCTGCTAAATTTTATGGTTAATTCTCAGATCTTATGTTTCTTGTCTCATCCAGTACTGTTGATTTCCTCTCTTCTGTTGCAACCACTTTATTAGTTTGTCCAAACACTGCAGTCTTCTAATTTTCTTCCTGTCTAGACTCTTCTTTTTAAACTTATTTGCTGGCTCTGTCTTGTCTTCCAGTCGTTACAAGCCCCGGGGCTCAATCTGGGACTGTGTTCTCCCTACACTCCAGTTATGGTAACTTAGTGATGTTCCACACCATTCAGTCCCACAGCTGTAAAGACCAGTATGCTGATTACTCTCAGGTATGTGTGTGTGAGTGCACTCAAGACATTTTGCCTGCCTCTCCTAAATGCCAGAATGTATGTGCATCTCACGCTCCTTTATCCAGGCTGACAGCAAATCTTTACCTTCTTAATAAATCCATAATCTGGCAACACTCTTGCCACCATGGTGCACATGACCATCCTCCTCTTCCTGCCTATGGTAATGCTGTTTTCCTGGGCTTTCTGACTCTATTCTTGCCTTATTCTTTTTCTCCACTGAATCTATACTATTTCTGTTGATTGGAGTCAAATCAGTTTCACGTGAACCGGCAAGTGGATCACCATCACAAAATTGAAGTCCACGATGGCCTTCAGTACCAGGCAGCACATGTTGGAACTCTTTTCCTCCCTCTGAAATATCACCCCTGTGCTCACTCTGCCCCAAGGCCTTTTCACTGACTATTTGCTGTGTCTGAATGTTTAGGTTCCTCAATCTCATTTCTTTACTGAGCTGTGGTTCCCAGTGAGGCTGGTCTCCCTGCTGTATATCTCATACTACTTAGCACACTCTATAGTTGACTTTTCTTATGTTTACATGTTTTCCCACTTAAATGTAAGCTCCAGAGATTATATTTTTTAATCTGAATTACTGCTGTATTATTAATCTCAGTTTGTGGCACAAACCAGGTACTTGTAAGCATTTCTGAGTAAGCAAATAAACGATGAATTTGGAATCAAAATAATTTGTATGTGGCTAAAAGAAATCCTGAAATTTCTGTCCCGTTCTCCAAAGGTAACTGTTGTTAGTAGTTTAGCATGTGTTTCCAGAGTGTCAGGCCTAAACACACTTATAGAATCTTTGATCACAGTGAAGGTGTCATGCTACACAAATTGTTCTATGGGGTGCCTTTTTTCCCACTTTGTTCATTGTGTCAGTATGTAAGTAGCAACCTAATTTTTTTTTTGTTGTTGTTTCATTGTATTTTTTGAGATGGAGGTCTCACTGTGTTGCTCATTCTTGTCTCCAACTCTTGGACTCAAGTGATCTTCCCACACAACCTCTCAAGAAGCTGGGACTAGAGCTGTACTCTACCATCCCTAGTGTTAGCTACCTTATTTTTCTGATGGCTTTATAGCATTATTTGGAAAGACCATGATTTAGGTTTTCTGAAAGCCACTTTGTATGTTATAGTAAATTTTTTTGTCTATATTAACTTTTTATACTTAAGGTAGTTATTTCTGTAGGATAAATTTCTAGAAGATTAATTCATCAAAATTTTTTTTGCAGTGTCAGATTGCCCCCTTAGAATCAATAAGGTATGAGAGTGTTTTCCTGTACCATCAACAACTTGACTATGTTGTTTTTTTCCACTGTTACTTGAAATATGTATATCCAACTGGTGGATATGTGGACCAAAAGGAAAAGACCGCAGTGGGACAAATTCCCTATTCTAAGGGAGCCCCTCTTGGAAATAGCTGGCTGTGGTTCTCCCTCTTCCAGTCTGGAGGTGAGCAAGAGATGGGTGTCAGGGCCTCCTGCACACAGTATGGAAGTTAAGGACAACTGCAGGAGTCACCGAGGCTGTCCTGAAACCTAGCTTCTGTGCTCCAGTGTCTCCCTGGTCGGCACCCAGTAGGACTGAAAATTTTATCAGAAGAGGGGGATTATTGCCTTCTAGGCCCAGTCTGGTTGGCTCAGTCATCTACCTTAGGAAAACAAATAGTATCCTGTAGTATCTTGTTTGATCGGAAACTGCCCACTGTAAATACTACAGCGATTTTTGGACTGAGGATAGAAGAATTGAGTTCAATAAGAGGGAAGAGTTAGGCAATGGAAAGGGCATGTGCGGAAGCGCCAAGGCCAGAGCTGGTCTGGGAGGAGCTGCCCAGCCCTCACTGCAAGGACTYTCTAACGAGGACCTAGTCCCCTGCCCTCGAGAGTCACGGAACCAGAACCCTCAGGGGAAGGTCCTCTGTCAATTCTGCTCTCGTTGGGCTGTGGGTAGTTGATCAAAAGGCCCTTTTCGCCGGGCACAATGGCCCATGCCGGTAATCCCAGCCACTTGGGAGGCTGAGGCAGCCGGGTCGCAAGTTGGTGGCTAGCCTGGACAAAATTAGATCCTGCTCAAAATTAAAAGGGAGATGTAGGTCAATGGTAATGCCCTTGCCTAGCATGCGCGAGGACATGGGTTCGAGCCCCTACACAGAGAAGACGGGAACCTCCTTTCTAGGTGAGAACTTCAACTCTCAGGCTGCACAGGTAAACTGCAAAAGCGGCAAGAACAGACTGCTCAAGCGCAATGCTCTTAGACGCCCCTTCAGCGCCGGGCCTCGGTGCCAGGCATGTGCGCCTGCGCGACACCAGGGCGCGCGCGAAGGGTGGGGGGAGCGTCTCGGTTGCCTGGATACTGAGACGCAACAGTAGCTTTGGCCCGGCTCGTGAGCAGCGGGCTGTGCTGAGTCGCTGGAGGGGCGGTTGGCTCATTTCCCGAGATCCGCAGGAGGAGCCGGTAAGACCTCGCCTCTGCAGGGAGGGCGAGCGGCCCTGGCGCTGACCCGGCCCGCTGACAGCCGCTCTCGCCCTCCCCGCAGCGTACCTACGTTCTCCCAGGCTGTAGCGGTCTGCCGGAGCGATGCCGCTTCCCGACACCATGTTCTGCGCGCAGCAGATCCACATTCCCCCGGAATTGCCTGACATCCTGAAGCAGTTCACCAAGGCTGCCATCCGCACCCAGCCCACCGACGTGCTGCAGTGGTCCGCGGGGTAAGCGCCCTCGGGCGCCGAGCCAGAGGCAGGCAGTCCACGTGCCCAGCGAACCCCCTGCCCAGGCCAAGCTTCCCCTTAGCTTGGTGACATCRGTTCCAGGGTGACTGTCTAGGAACCATTGCCATCTTTTGTTCATGAGATCAGAAATTATTGCAAAAATGCACATTTATCTAGAAAATGATGGTAGGTCAGTTGTGGAGATAGACTAACGCTTACAAAGCCATCACATTGAACAAATGTTTCCGCACTGTGTTTTAAAATCACAGGATCACAGCCACTTTTACTTATGAAATGATTTTTACAAGGAGGAATCTGTTAGCTCTGATCCTTATCTGCAAAGAATCCTCCCAGAGTAGTGAAGTTTGTCAGCACTTTACTCCCGAGGTCATCCTGAGGTTTTCAAGATGAGCCTGCTAGTAGGTAAACTGCCTGGTGAGCTTCACAGCCAAYGAGCCTTAACAGTTCCTTGCAGCAAACACTCTCAGGAGCACTCATAACTTTAAATTAGTTACAAGTCAACAGATCTTAGAACCATTAAAATCCTTTTTTATTTTTCAGAAATATTCTTTGCTCTCTCTTATAAACAGACTTAGTTACTCACTTTTTTGATGAGTCAACATAAGTGTAAATTTAATTTTTTTCTTTAGTAACTGACAACAGATTTTGATAACTTTCTCTAACCTGTATAAACAAGGCAAGTTAATTTCTTTTGGCTGTTGTAACAAATTATCACGAAATTTGACTTAACAAGCACTTATCTTTACAGTTCTGGAGACCAAAAGTCCAAAATTAGCTTTATGAGGCTAAAAGCAAAGTGGTGGCAGGGCTTTGCCCTTTCTGATGATTATGGGGAGAATCCATTCCATTTCTTTACTATTCCAATTTCAAGAACTGTATCCCTTGTATAGCTTGGGCCTTGATCTCTTCATCTTTGTAACCAGCATTTTCATTCTTTCTCTACCTTCTTCTTCTAAGCATACTTGTGACTATATTTAGGAACCATACTGATAATCCAAGGTAGTTTCACCATCTAAAACCCTTAATCAATCTGCAGAGACATGTTACCATGTAAAGTAGCAATCATAGGTTCCAGGGATTGAGACTTAGAAATCTTTGAGTAGTTATTTAATCATACTAACAGAGTCACGTTCTTGAATTCTTTGTAACATTTCTGTCAATTGTTTCTGAACCTCTCAATCTTCTTGCTAAAACATTATGACCTCAGGTTTTTACCATTCTTCAAGCCTAAATAAAAGATAGGATTTATTAACACTGTACAAAAAAAAAATTCAAGATTTCACTCTTTCTCCCCACTTGGAACACTAAATTATATTTGGCAACACTTCAGGGACAATTATTTTAAGCTTCATTTTAATTTGAAAGGCCTAATCATGAACTTTCTGAATGCACCATGCTGCTAATTCAAGAAGGAGTTTAGAGTTTAGGAGAAGAGCTGGGCATTGTTCATCAGGCTATGTGTGTGCCTCACGCGAGGCACCCAGAAGTGTGCTAGCACTGTCAGGACAAAACCTGTTAGAGAGATGTTCATAAACAACTGGAATTGGTGGAGAACTTGGTAAGTGTGAAATGAGGCTCCTGAAGGTTGAGCAGAGTGACCTGGTCTTGGGAGGATTGTGTAGGCAGAGGTTGAGGCTAAAGCAAAGCAGAGGGTGTGGAAGAGGAAGAAGTGCAGGAACAAAGGCAGTGACAGGAAGGAAAACAGGATGCCTGTGACAGTCATGCTGCCATAGGACATGCGGTAGGCATTCCTGTGTCAGGTAAGGGTTCTTTTCAAAGGAGGTCTTCAGATGGCCAAGGGTCATCTTTCTCCCAAGCCTGTCTACTCTACTGTGCTGGACAATCAGTTGTCCCTCATCATTTCATCATGCACAGCTAACTGAAGAATTGGCCGAGTGACAAAAGCTGCCCTGGTGTCCCGGGGATTGGTGGCACGTACCTTGCCAGCAGGCTTTCTTAGCCCTGCAGTTGGTGGTGGCGGTGCAGTGGTAGTGTAGGATGTTAGCCTCCAGGCCTGTACCCACTAGATGGCAGTATTACCATCCACACTTTGCCCTGACAACCTAAATTGTCTCCAGAAGTTGCCAAATGCCTTGAGTATGGAGTGGGGGGCTGGACCACAATTGGCCCCCCTGGAGGACGCTTGCTGCAGAGGCTGTGTGGAACTTGGTGACTGYTCTGATTGATTGTGGGAGTAATTCCACGAAACAGTGAAAACTCTCCCTGGGACAGCAAAGCGTGGCATCCTCCTTCAGCAGGGCTCTTTAGGTCCTAGGCTCCATATATGTCTGGTTCAGGGCTGTCCGMATTTTGACTTTTCCTTAAATCATTAACAAAACTACAAAGCAGAGCAGAAATTGGCTTACGTGTACAGAAGCAAATTCGAATTTGAGGATTTGAGATAAAGCATTTCTTTTAGTCTACCCAATGTATATATATTGATCCACAGGCATGTATGCTATATCTTAGAATGTTTCTAGGTCCTTGTACCTTTTACATTACCTGTGGCCTGGTGCATGCTTAGTGTGTGCTTGCCTGGCCATGCTGTCCCTTTGTTAAAGTGAGCTCACAGGAGACGCTGCCTGATTTCCACTCCCAACACCAACCAGAGGCTAGGTGTGGGTCCCTTAACTTACTGCCCTACACTGTTTCTGTGCCTGTCTTGTCCCCAATGTAAGTAAGGGGCATTATCAATATCCCAGACAGGAACAGTTACCAGGAAACCTAAGGCAAGACAGTCTGGGCCTACTCAAGAGTGGAATACACAGCTGTTTAACATCAGCAAGGCCATGAAAAGGGAAGGCTGAAACCAAACTTTCAGAAGTGGAGAACTGGACTGGACCATGACACTGGACTCAGGTCTGTCCAGGGTCTGGAATCTTCTACTTCCTTTGGCCACATTGAGGCTCAGAGCATGTGCTTGATGAGAATAGTGCATGTCCTGGGAACTCCTTCTGACGCTGACCACTAAGCCTTCCTCACTCAGTGCTTCCAGAACTCAGACAGGGCCTCCTTGTGCCCATTTGTAGACAGAGAAACCGAGGCATGTAGAGAAGTTTAAGTCAGAAAGCCAAGTGGAGGAAGGAGAACTTAAGCCCTAGCCATTGGCTATAGAACTATCCTTCCTAATCTCAGTGGTTTTCCTGGGGCATTTAAGGCACCACATGACATAGGGTGCTGCCTGTGTGTTGATAAGCTTCAGAGATGTCTGTTTTTCCCAGGTATTTTTCAGCTCTGTCAAGAGGAGATCCACTTCCTGTAAAGGATAGAGTCGAGATGCCTGTGGCAACCCAGAAAATAGACACAGGCCTGACCCAGGGACTGCTGAAAGTCCTGCACAAGCAGGTAAGCAGGGTCTGGCTGGCTTGTGTGTCTCCCAACTGTGGCATCTCTCAGAACTATGGAGCAGAACCCCATCAGGACCATGGATGGACCATGTGTTCCCTGTCCTTTCTTCAAGGTTTCCTCTACAAAGGAATGTATACATTCGGTAGACTTAACCCAAAATAGCTACTTAAGAGTAGATTCTATTTGATTTTACTTTTTTGTGGAGGCTGGTCCTGGACTTGTGATCCTCTTGCTTCAGCCTCCCGAGTAGCTGGGATTGTAGGTGTGCTCCAACACCTGGCATAGTCTTTTTTTTTTCCCATGGCACTGGGGATGGAACTCAGGACCTTGAGCATGCCAGGCAACCTCACTACCACTGAGCTACACCCCCCAGCCCCATAACCTTTATGTTTAAAGTGCTTTGTTGCCATTATACACAGGGAAGTACTATGCTTCTGTGCAGGGCCCACTGGTTTCCAAAGACAGGATCTTCCCCGGACTCTCTATCTTAAGGAAAATATTCCCACTGAATTGTGTACCTTGGGGAAACAAATCCTTATTGCTCAGATTTTTCTACACAAAATTCTACTAGCAGATTGAAGAAGTTGTCAGTGTTCATAGTGTGTTTAAAATAGTGGAAGCGATTTGTTTATTTTCAGATTTTTTTTCCTAATTACTGTATTTAGGGGACTGGATTTTCAAAGGCTTTTATTCATTAATTTTTTTTTTTTTTTTTTTTTTACTGTGAAGTATTTCAGACAAACAGTGGAGATTCACACACCCAATATCTGCTCATTTTATGAGGTCGTAACACTACGCCATATACTCTTCTCTTTTGGGATATAGAGCCTAGCGCCTGCACCCTCCCTGGGGCTGACACAGTTACTGTCAAACAGGAGAGTCCATCTCCTCGGCATTAGGCAGGTGGCTGGTGTCTTAAGTCTTTGCAGGACTGCACCATCTTATAGGTTTTCCAAACTTACATAGATGGTGACATACTGTGTTTTTAAACAGTGTCGCCACAAGAAGTATGTGGAATTAGCAGAACTTGAGAAGAAGTGGAGAAATCTGTGCCTGCCAATGGAGAGATTGAGAGCTCTCCTAGTACTGGATCATTGCGAAACGGAAATCGAGTGGATAAAATTTTTAGCATTGGGATGCAGTTCACTTGGTGGGGTATGTACACATAAATAGCATCTTAATAATTCTGTGTAATTACATGCCTGGCTTGAAAACAAGTTTAGGTTTCAGTTGGCTAAARGAAATACTTCGTTACTTCAGTAGCTTTGTCTTAGAAAATTTTTTTCCCCTCAGGCAACTATGATATTTTTAGACTTATAGTTCTTTTTAAGTTAGATACTTTTGAACACCTCACTTTAAAAGATTTAATGCACCTTGATTTAGATGATATTAACAGTAAATAAAATATGTGGATGCTCTTAAAATGTACTTAGGTTTTAGAAGAGAATGCAGCAATGACTCTTTATTAAAGTACATCATTTTGTAAACTGATAATGTCTCTTCTCCCCTTCTGTGGAAAGAGGCATAAAATTATTTTATTCTTGAGTTACAATCCATTATTAAAGCTAACAGATACTGTGCAACTTTGCTGATGCTCAAGTTTTGCCCTAACAAGCTTAGCAATAAGACATGGGCAATCCTYGATTTGGGAAACGTGGAGTTGGTGAACCCTGGAGGTGAGGAAGAGGTGTGGAGGCTGGGTGCTGAGGATGTGGGCAGAGCCTCCTGTGCACAATGGAGTCTGCTCAGCTGCAGTGTGGGAGTCAGGCTTCAGCAGGGAGAGTTAGTTAGCACGCTCAGCTTGGGAAGAACGACTGGGAAAGAGAACAGGCCTGCTTCCCGCCACAGAGGAGCAATGTTGTTTTACTGCTTGCCTTCGATCTTTGTAGCCCAGGGTACATCAGTGATTAATGACTAATCCCTGCTTCACAGCCCACACTCATCCTTGATCCATGGGTAAGCCTCTTCCATTGAATTCTAATTAAAAAGAAATCACTCCATATAATAAGCACCCAGGAACCTGCTCAGCAGGGTCATTGACACACCGACACTAGCTCCAAAGACCTGTGCTTCTTCCTGCCCTGTGCCCCGGCCTGCCTGCCCAAGGCAGTGACCATCCTGACCTCACACTTCCTGCTCTTTTGCCTTTAAAGAGATCCTTTTATAAGTGCCCCCAAAATATACTAAATAATGTTTGTTTTTGTTGTTGTTAATATTGTGCTGGGGATTGAACCCAGGGCCTTGTGTATGCCAGGCAAGCACTCTACCAACTGAGCTATATTCCCAATCCTAAATAATATATTTCTTGAATTAGTTTTAACTTTATAAAAAGAGAAATATGCTGTTGGTTACCTTCTGGAACTTCTTTTCATCCCAAATGACACTSCTGCAAGGATTGGTCTGTCAGGCCACAGAACCATGTTGCTTATTTGCCAACTGTTTGGGAAGTGAATATATCACAATTCGCTGGTTATATCACTGGCTCAGTGAGAAGCCTGGTCACCTCAGGGAAGTCAGATGGAGCCTGGGAGCTTCAGGTTGAGCAACAGTTTTGAGGTATGGGTGTTTCTGATCAGCCCTGGGCTAATTTTGCCAAGGCCTGGACCTTGGTAGGCCTGGCACCCTCCAGCAGCAAAGACAGGCTCAGAAGTCCCCAGGGGACATCTCCGTGGGGGATTATTGGGAAYGATAAGGACAATTTCATCATTGAAGAAATTTAAAAAAAAGATTTTTAGTTGTAGATGGACACAATACCTTTATTTTACTTATTTATGTGCTGCTGAGGATCGAACCCAGTGCCTCACATGTGTGAGGCAAGCGCTCTACCACTGAGCCACAACCCCAGGAGAAATTTTTATGTCTCTTTGTTCATTTGGAACTTGGTGAAACCAAGATTTTAATAATACAAAATTAATATCTGATGTTTGAATTAATGTTTACAGTTTTTGCCTCTAACTTAATTGTGAAGCTTTGATTTTTAACAATGGTGAGAATAGTAGAAAAATTCATATTTTGAATTCATCTTCATAATTTCTACCTCCCGAATCATGAAAATTAAGCACTCAGTTGATTTCAAGCAAAACCAAGTCTGTTACGGAAAGTGAGGTCCCTCGTTCATGTGTATTGGTGACACTAGAGGGGGACATTTCATCAAGGATAGAGCTTTACTGTCTAAGCTGAGAACTCGGGAAAAACATTAAAAATAACAAGCATTCCTTTGCTTTCTTCCTATAACACGTTACTCTGTCCTTAGGGAATCAATTTATACCAAAAGGCCCAGGTGTGGTCATTGTGTATTTCCTCCTGTCCCCAAACCTAAGCCACCTGTGGCAGCAGGACTTTCCACTCACTTTGCTTCCTTTGCCAGGTGAGGTGTGAAGGTGATCCTTTGGTCCCCAGGAGCCCCTGCGGGAGTGCCCGCACTGGCCTCTCCCCGCCCCACACCTGCCAAGTGTGACTCCTGTCACGTTTGCCATGTGAGCGGGTGGGCAGTCTTGTGCTGTGGGTGCCGGGGTGCTCTGAGAACAGCTGACGGAATGAAAGAACCTTAAACCCTGCTCTCAGGAATCACTGTCGTCAGATTAACCCAGCTTAAGCTCTCTATAGACTAGAAACCTCTGCCTGAATTTCTGAGTCATGTGTATCATTCATTTGTTCCTTTGTTTCTTCACTCCCCAGTTTTTGCTGAGCAGTGTTTGTATGCAGCCTTGCTGGATGAGGTCTGAGTATCCCCGAGTGTCTGTGTGGCCAAGGCTTCTACTGTAGGGTGGTGGTACTGGGAGTGGCAGGACCTTTAAGCACTGGGGCCTAGTTGGGGGTCTTTGGTCATTGGGCTGGCCCTTGAAGGGGATCAATGTGATTCTTGAGTGAGCCTTTGATGGTTTTGGCAAAAGGAGTGAGCCTGCCCCTCCCTCTGGCTTCCTGTGTGAGATGAACTGGCAGTCCCACCACCTTGAGCCACTGTCATTGTAGGCCCTCACCAGAAATGAACCAATGCCCCCACCTCAGCCTGACCTCAGCCTTGGGACCTCCACAACTGTGAGCTAAACAGACTCTTCTCTTCGTGGGTAGCTGTGGGTATTTCATCATAGTGAGGAAAAGCTGGCCAACTCAGGTTCTAAGTGCTGGAGATTCTGGAATGCACTTTCTGGGCTTGTGTCCTCAGACTCTTGCAGTTGATGTTCTGCGATACCCTTGGATCCCTGGACACAGCTCCAGGTATCCTATTGAAAGCTATGAATTTGGGTTAAGGGACATTGAGAGGTGCTCAGTCAGCCACCAGCCAGGTGGACGAGGATGTGAACTTGCTGTCTGAGGCTGTCGTGAGATAGAGTCTTTCCCAGGGTCCTGATATGCATGTCTGGTGACATCATCACATTTACACGTTGGGACTTTATCTTCACATTCCTGCAGCACCATGGATGGCCCTAAGCCTTAAAGCAGTGGATCAGAATGTCTTGTTTGTAGCCTGGGGATCTTTTTTTTAAAGCATASGAAAATTGTGAACTGAGCCTTTTATCTTCAGACACTCTCTAAATCTATAATGAAAAAACAGCCAGACAATGAACAAGGAATATAGTCGGACCTCAAAATGTAGTTGAGCTTTATTAGCCACAGAAGCATCCCTCTTTGGTTGTAATAGGAAGAGGGTGTGGGTGTAATGTGGTTCCATCTGAACTATTGCCTACAACAGTGGGCATGGTCTCTAGGGATCTTAGCTTGGGCTAGAACGTGCAGGACCCTTAGTATGTTTTGGAGGAGAGACTGCTGCACGTGAGGCTGGTGAGCTGTGGTGGAGACGGGCTAAGAACCTGAGGTCAGGTAACTGGGAAGTGAGGGGTGCAGGGGTCCCTGCCAGTGACTCTGTAGTGACCCAGGAAGGTTAGGGCCACTTCAGGAGAGTTCATGCTTGGGGAGAACTCCCTAGGGTTAGCAGTAATATCATTTTATATCCTAAAATTATTCAGGAGTGTTCAGTGCCAGCCTGACAGCATGTACCCTGGAGTGTGTAGAGYACTGTCCTCATATGCTAGCCCTGGGTGACAGTCACCTGTCCCAGCAATGGAGCCGCATCCTGGCTTACTGTTCCCTGCCACTTGCCCTTCAGGCTTCTCCCAAAGGGACCCAAAGACTATTCTGAAGTATCCCAAAAAAGGCCAGCAGAAATCTTAACCCACCACCCACCATGAGGGTGAGCCTCAGGCCACGAGTAGGTGGAGCACACTGTCCCCACAGCGGAAGGAGCTGCCCTTGGGTTCCTGGGATTGGTGGGCCTAGCTCTGCCACGTGGGAGGGGGGCGTGCACTCCCTGGAGTTGTCACTGTGTCCACTTCAGCTTCTTGGGCGTTGAGTTGTGCTGAGACCACAGCCCAGCCACCTGTGGAACACTCGTAATTCTGGGCCTCCCACCAAAGCCCCCAGAACAACAAAAAAGAGAACCTATGGGATGGGAAGAGCCTTGGGCTTTTAATGGAGCTCTGGTTCTAAGGACACCATCACCTGGCCTCCACCCTGCCCCAGCTGTCCTCCTGTAAAGGGCTCAAAGGTACCCCCTGGAGGTGTGAGATGACAGTTCTTCAGAGGCTGTGACCTCGAAGCTGTGAGGAATCCGACAGAATTGGTGCATGGAGAATGCCTAAGATGTGAGGAACCTCCCTCTGGGGTTTTCCCCACATCTCCACTTTAATTTCAGATTATGGATGAGGCAGAAATACTTGGTTCTAAACAAAGTGTAGCTGGGCGGGGTGGTGCATGCTTATAATCCCAGTGGCTGGGGAGGCTAAGGCTGGAGGATCTCAAGTTCAAGGCCAGCATCAGCAAGCTTAATGAGGCCCTAAGTCAGACCCTGTCTCAAAATTTAAAAAGAAATTAAAAAGAGACAGGAATGTGGCTCAGCAGTAAAAGCTCCTCTAGGTTCAATTCCCAGTATTTAAAAAAAAAAAAAAAAAGGCAGCTCTCCAGCCCCCTGGCCCCAGGATCTCTCAAGCCCTTAAGAATAATGGTGGGAGGTAAGAGTGGGTCCTTWGGCTGGCGATGAAGTGGCTGTACTTCCTACAGCCCTTTGGAGTTGAGAGTTGTGTTTATAAGAAACTTAACTCTCAGTAAGATCAAGCGAGTTGCTTTATGAGTCCTTTTGGATATAAAAGTTGCTGCATATCTTATTGTCAGGACTGTCGGCACCAGCAGCGTCATTACGCCTTTGCAGAGCTGCGATGCTGGAGTGTTTTGATGTATTTTTCCTTAAATACCTCCTCTTCCGAAGCCTCGAAGCCTCGTGGCGGCAGGTCTCATCTGCCTGCTCCATGATGCCAACTGCTTCCTTCCCCTGACTCACGGCGCCAGCCTGCGAGTCCCCCTCTCCTGATGTCTTGCTTCCGTTTGTGTCGGATATGAAAGCACATTCCAGCATACAGCGTGTCTTTGAAAAGTTTCAAGTCAGGAACAGGGATTATAAAACAGCTTTATTTTTAGCAGCTCCTCCCTCGAGGCCAGTCTTTTAAGGGAATGGTGTGTGTGGAGGTGTCCGCCTCTCTGCGGAGTGAAGACACCTTTTTTTCTAATGAGTGTCACTTGGCCCTTCCATGCTAGGCTGACTGATAGCTATTCTGGACCCTTGTGTCACATTCCTGCCAGGGCCAAGGCACCAGAGATTGGCTCTGCTCAGGCGGTCCTCTCCTCYGCCCAGGTCTGGATCCAGGAATGTGGGGTGTCTATGTCCCTGCCTCTCGCCCCCTGCCTCTCGCCAGTGCAGTGGACCCTAAGGTGGCCCACTTTCTGCCTTGGGCTGGGTGACCTTGGAAAATGACTGAGCCTCTCTGGTCCCCACCATTCCTTTGTGAACTGAGGATAATGACATCCTCACTGCTCTCAGGGACTGAGGAGTGGACAGGGCACCAGAATCAAGCTCTTCGATGGTGCTAGTCTCTGCTGGTTACTAGTGACCACATGCCGCCYTGTCCAAGGGCCTCATCTCCATCCTGCAAACTTGTGGGCACTGAGGACAGCAGGTTTCTCCCCATGACAGTCCATGCTGAGGCCAGTATGTGACTTGCGGCTGCACCTGTCCTACGTCTGCAACTTCCGTGTGGGACTGTCTCTGCTCCTCCCACCTCTGGTGCTCTATGCTCACGMAACACATCTTTTCCTGCTTTCCCTCTTGCTAAAAGTCATTTCTGGGCTTGCTGCAGATGCCATCTTTATTCTCCTTAGCAGCCTGGTGATGTTTTCATATTCTGCTGTTTAGGGGCAAGAGAGCCCTGATTTGTGATGTCTTCCAGTCCATGTGGTGTAAATCCCCCAGCCCAGTTCAATTCCAGCTACCAACGGGAGGTGTCTAGCTGACACAACTCCTGGAGGGGTCAGTGGCTCGGGAGGCCCTGGAGTGCACCACTGCCATCTGTACCCCCAGTGTCTAGCTTTGGCTCTGCCACTCCTTCCAAATGCTCCTGTGAAGCCCTCTGGTGGGAATGCAGTTCTCCCCTCCTCCTCCCCAACCTTGGACAGCCGAGCACTCTGTCCACCTTCAAGCACTTTCCTCTACCCACCATTGGTCCCACCTCCTGTACCCCTCCTCCTGTCTCCAGCTGCCCGCTTGGTGATCTCTCATCTTCCCAGCTCTTGGCGGATTGCACGCCATTTTCTGTCTACCCTCCTTCGGCTCTAAGTGATACCTTGTCCACTTGGGCAGAMTCTCTCAAATAGGGTGACCCCACCTGAGCCACCGGCTGAGCTCCAGGCCTGAATACCCACCTTGGCCAGTGTTTGCACAGGGATGCCTAACATTACATGCCAACTGACACTGCCCAGAAGTGAGCCCCTTTTCTGTGCTCAGGACTCCCCATCTCCCCTCCCGTCAGTGGTGAATCAGCCTTCCAGCTGTGCAGGCCTAGAACCTTGGGGGTCTCCGCTCAYGGTTCTGCCTCTCACACCACCGTGCGCAAGCTCTGTTAGCCCAGAGTCCTGCCTGGCTCCCAGCGTGGCCTCTGCTCCACTGTCCCAGTGGCCTCCTTGTTGGGTGCCTGGCTTCCACACATCAGCTAAGAGAGTCTCTCCATACTGCTCATCTCTGTTTCAATTCTTTAACCCCTTCCCATAGTACACGGGAGAAGCCAAGGCTCCCTTGCCCTGCGAGAACTCCCAAGATCGGCATCCACCCACCCTCTGACTTGCTCTAGCTACTCAGAAGTGAGCCCAGAAGTGAGCTCAGGCTGTTCCTGGAGCATGCACGCTTCCCTGGAATTCTGCAGCGTCCCCTGGCTGGCCTCTTCCTCTCTGAGGCTTTACTTAATGTCACTGCTCAGCTGGACCCTCCMGGACCCTCCGCCCCAGTGCCTACTGCCTGTGCTCAGACGCATCCCCCCCCCTTTTTTTTTAAGAGAGAGAGAGAGAATTCTTTTCAATATTTATTTTTTAGTACTCGGTRGACACAACATCTTTGTTGGTATGTGGTGCTGAGGATCGAACCCGGGCCGCACACATGCCAGGCGAGYGCGCTACTGCTTGAGCCACATCCCCAGCCCACAATCCCCTTCTTGAGGGAGCTGGGGCCCAGGTGTTCTGCCCTTGAACCACACTCTGACCTACAGGAGAGCAGGTGTTAGGCGTCCAGTGGCAGCCTCCCTCTCTGGGGGCCACAGTGGGCACAGGGCGAGTATGGAGTGCACCAAGGAGAGCTCTGTGCTGGTGTTGGCCAGGGCTGTGAGATGCGGCCTCTCTYGGAGTTTGCCTTCAAGCATCCTCATCCTCAGCCCAGCAGTCAGGCAGGGGGCGGGGGTGGCTCTGGCAAGGAAGGGCTCTGGAGAACCCACCCAGGGTGGAGATGGAGTGCTGGCCCCCAGGCCATCTGGAAGAGCGTTGAGGTCTGCAGGGTGTTTGTCCTGATGTAAAAGAAAACAAGGAGACCAGGGCTATGTATTTGGTTTAGTAAAAGATAGCATTCTATTGTTATGGATTTTTTTTCATCTTTAGAAAAAAAACAAAGACTTTTTTTCCAACAAGGATTAGTTGAAAGGAGTAGGAGATGAGAGCCCTGGGCCAGTGGTTCGCACTCCGGAACYTCTGGTCTCCTGAGGAAGTCTGTGGCCCATCAGCTGGGCCTGCTGGGCTTCTAGAGAGGCAGGTGCTCTGGAGACCTGTGCCTTGTGGGGGTGGAAGGCAGAAGGAGGATGGGGTGCAGGCCAGGATGGGGCCGGTGTCTCTGGCAACCAGACAGTGGACTCCATGAGTGAGATACATCGTGGATAGGGGAGAAGAAAGGCCTGGGGTTCTCCTCAGCCCACACAGACACGGAGCCTCTGTGTGAGCAAGGACAGAGCCTGGGCAGCAGGGCCCTCCTTGAAGACGTGCAGGCTGCCCACCCTGTCAGCCCTGCCCGCAACAGGCAGCACCTCTGGTCAGTAACAGACTCCTTGGCACCACCCTGAGTGTCTCTGGGCCTGACGGGACACCATAGTTCTGCACTGGCTTACAAAGTTCATCACAGAGGGGCTGGGAGTGTGGCTGGGGGTTGGGGTGTGGCAGGGGGTGTGGCTCTGTGGCTGAGGGTGTGGCTGGGTGGCAGAGCACTTGCCCCACAGCCCTGGGCTTCCCTCCGGGCACCACAGCACAAAAAAAGTTTATCACTGAAGACATAAGTGTCTCATCTTCATATAAGATGAAAATCTGTGAATTAACACTTTTTCTAGTCACTTGCATCTGGACCAAACATTTTTTTTAATATTTATATTTTAGTTGTAGGTGGACACACAATATCTATCTGAGGATCGAACGCAGTGCTTCACGCGTTCTAGGCGAGCACTCTGCCACTGAGCCCCAGCCCCAGCCCCAGCCCCAGCACCAGCCCCCAACATTTCCTTTTTATTTCTCACCATGGAAGTTGCATATCTATCTAGCTTTCAATTCAGAGGGAGACCATACTTTCCAGAATTTCTATAGAATGTGCTTGAGGGTTTCTTTGGCTGGTATCTGCTTTACATCTTAGCAACTCCGAGTAATCCCCTCCCCATGGTGTTTTAGTCGCTGAACACGGCCATGAAGCACGTCTGYGAGATCCTCACCCAGGACCCTGAGGGTGGGCCTGCGCGGATCCCGTTCGAGACGTTTTCCTTTGTCTACCGCTACTTGGCTGGGTTGGATCCAGACATCATGGAGATGGATGTGGAATCCTATCTTATGGGTTTAAAGGAAAGCGTGTAAGTATAGCACTGTGGGATCCAGGTATGTTGACTGTGGAGAATTTTATTTCTCCACTTTTCTGTCTTCTGAAAGTCATTCCAACCAAGCCCGCCCTTGACATATACCAGCCCAAGACGTGTCTAAGTGGAACTACAAGCCAGATGCCATCAGTGAAAGCAGCCAGCCATCAAGCCTTGGTCACAGCCTTATCAGTGTGGGACTTAGGTTCTGTTTCATTAGACTTCAGAAGGAGAAATTGTGTCCAGTCACCAGAAATGGTCTGTCCTGAGCTTATCCTGGCTCTAATGTACAGTATGTCAGTGGTTTCCACTGTAGCCCGTTGACAGTGAGATGGGTCAAATTCACCTCATCACAGAGCAGCACAGAGGTTGGCCTCACTGTGGGACTGGAGCGCCAGGACCCAGGGCTGCCTGCATACACCTGAGACGTCACTGTGGTCACACAGTTCCTGTTTGGAGGAACATGTAACTGTTACACTGCATTTTCTTACTGTGTTAGTACTGGACATGAGTGAAGGATCGCAGATGCTTTTGACCACTTCTCAAAATTATCCTTAGGCTTGTGTCTTCTTTTTCCAGTAAGTGGCCTCCCACATCTGAGGTGTGGCTACTCCCACTCTGAGCTCTGTTGAGCAGTGAGATGCTCCATGATTCTCCAGGTCCAGAAGCGGCGGAGCATCCCTTTTGGGGGGTTCCCAGAAATCTGAGATCTCTCCAGATTACCTTTGGGAGAGAGTGGCACCATGAAAGTGGTGTGGGTATGTGGAGGGGACAGAGGTGGCCAGCGACTGCCCCAGGCACAGGGAGATAAGCCAGACTGCAGCAGTGATGGTGGGGAGGAGGTGGGAGAATGCACTGTGGCMTGCCCTGCAGGGCTTGGGGGGAGCACCTGGCAAGGGCACAGCCTTGGTTCCACTCCGAGGGGCAGGGGCTGAAGATGAGCAGGACATTAAGTGGCTCCTACCAGGAGCCTCATGTACCCCACACCATGAAACCCCCACCCCCAAAGCCCAAGAAAAATTGTGAATGGACCTGGGGGCCGAAGAGATCATGCCTGGCCAGACACAGCCCTGAGTGGGATTCGTGCAGATCCTGGAGCTTTTGCTCCTTCAAATGAGAGGAAATAGCAAAGCAGCAAACTCTGGAATGTACAGGTCACTGGAGCCAGGCTGCCCACCACCCCTCTCCACTCCTCTGCCTAGTCAGCAGCTCATCTGTTCATCCCAAGACTCACCGATCCATCCACTTACCTGCTCCTCGCTTGGTTCCAAGTGTTCTGGAGCCCCAGGATCTCCCAGGAGGAAGATGGGAGATCCTGCAGGACATTGCAGGACACCACATGCAGCGATGGGCTGTGTGGGCTTGACTGTCCTGAAACCTGTGGCCTCAGGGGCAAGAAAGAAACAGGCTGGGCCAGGTTGGCCTGGGCAGCCAGGAGCGCTGGCTCAAGAAACAACTAGAGGCGGGTTGCTTGGGCCCCTGGACRGTCTCTGACTCCTCTCTTCCCATGGCCAGAGGGCTCCAGTCACTGGGTACTGCCCAAGGGTAAAGAACAACACATAGCATTCATCTTTGCACCTGGAAGAAGGGCCCATTATCATACAAGAAATTAGAAGGCTTGATTTTGGGTGGTAGAAATGACTGCTGAGAGGCCCTAAGTAGCCAGTTTTTAAGATATTTTAAATTGTAAAGCATTTGATCAAAATTATGTTGTGTGTGGTGAGAAAGTGCTGATGGTGTCTTCCTCTGTTTCCCATCCAGAGACTCTAGAAAGAATGGCATGATAGGACTTTCGGATTTCTACGTTCCAAAGAAGAAACTTTCTTGAAGAGAAAGCTCTGAAGACACAGGCTGTTAATACAGAGAAGAACACATTTTCATTTCAAAATAGTGCTTTTGGAAAACTTGGCATCAAATATAACTTGTCATTRACCACTTACATCTAGCATGAGTTATTCTCTTTTCAGGGAGATTCAGTGTGGCAGATGCTTCACAGAGCCACCTTCACGACTGTCCTTTACCATGTCTTGTAACAGGGACCTTAAATGTGACAGTCATAGCACTAAGCAGTGTGTTTCAGTAAAATAATCT